TATCCCAGCCCCTGTCTGGGATCTCCATCTGTAAAATGGATCTAGGAATAGTAGTTCTCACAGAATTAACCTGCAGCGTCTGTGGAAGTCATTGGCCTCAAGCAGGGGCCAGATCACATCGGGTGCGGGCAGAAGTGCAACTAGGCAGCTGGAGCCCTTCAAGTGGCGGAGGCCTCCCAAGTCCCAGGCAGCGAGACTGGAGGAATTTGCCTGGAAGTTTTCCACCGCGGCAGAGCCTTCTGGAGCTCGCTCAGGGCTCGGTGCGGGGAGCCCCGGCCTTGATTTCTCCAGCAGCCTCGCAGGGCGGGTCTGGGAAGGCGCGGGCGGGCCAGGACACTGGCGGGAGAATGTGCGGAATGTGCCAGGCCCATCTACCTACCCCAGGAGAGGGCAGAAGAAAGGGGCCGGCCAAGGGGAGGGGCGAGGGGCGAAGCTCTGGGCGCCAGAGAAAACCTGTTTGTTCTCCTTCGGGCAGAGCCCAGTCCGTGTCTTCTCACCGCCCTGCGCCCTGCGCCCAGCGCTCGCCGCCCTGCCTAGCCGAGAGAGCCCTCACCCAACCTTCACCGGACCCTCCGCCGGCTACGCGAGCCTGGCACCTGTGCAAGGTAGGGCTGTCGAGTCGCCGTCAGGGCAGCCGGGCAGAGGTGGCAGAGGGCACCGGGCCCCTGCCCAGCCGGGTGACAGGGACAACTCCAAGCCTCAGTTTTCCCATCCATAATCTTAATCCCTCCTGGGCTTCCACTGGGGAGGCAGTGCACCTGGTTTTCTGTTTTTCACTGTGAGCAAAGAGACTGAGAAAGCAAAGAAGGCTGGCCTGGTTCCTTTGCCCCTGCTCTTTCTGTAAGAGAGGGTTTGATTGTTAGCAAATGGCCTGCCGCCAAGGTGCTCTGAGAATTAATTGCAGGCCTAAGAGTCAGGGAATCTCAAATCAACTAGTTCACCTTTGTCCATTTTATAGATGAGGAAACTGAGACTTAGAGTAGGGAGCTCACAGGTTGCTTGTGATGAGCATGTGCTGGGGACCAGGCAGTCTCCTGGAGGGCCACCGGGAAAATAGCTGCTCAGACAGAAGATGCGGAATCAAGTGTCACTGGGTGTTATTGATGGGATCTGCAGCCAGCAGACTCTGTGGCTGGATTGTTTTGATGGAGACAAGGGGAGAAAAAAGTCTGTCCTTTGGAAAAACAAAGTGATACATTGCCTCAAAAAGAGTGAAAGCTCAGCTTCTCCCTCTGTCCATTCTCTGCTACTTCCAAGCTGGGAGTATCTGGGCAGCTCCATCAGTCCAAGGGGCCACCTGCCACCCAGGACTGCTGGGGGCTTAGATGAGGTCAGACGTGGGTGTGCCTGGGCTTTGGGACATTTATAGTTCAGTAGGAACTGTGTTCTCACTCAGCCATTTGCACTTAGCCTTGACATTGTGGAAGGCTGTGCAGCAACACCTGAGGACCACAATCTGTGAAACCTGAGAAATTGCCCATCACGCCCCACCCAGCAGTGGTGGAGGCCTCTGCCTTGGTTTCATGGCTCTTCGGACTTCCAGTAGTGGTACCTGGCTGGGGACAGGGAGGAGGATCCCATGGGCTGATGGGTCTGGGAAGTGGGGAGGGGCTCTGGGTTCCCACTTCCTCCTCACCAGCTCGCATAAAGCTGTGGAGAAAGGCTGACAGGAGGGGGGTGGGGGGTTCCTACCTCCTCAGGGCCTCCACTGCCTCATCTGAAAAATTAGGGACAGCTCAGAGGCCCTGCTTGCCACTTAGAAGCAAGTGGCCAGGACATAAATGCACAAACCAAGGCCCAGCTTGCAGGCTGGCCATGGTGCTCGTGCTGTTTCCCTCATCACCTCTGAGCCACCCCAGGATGGAAAGGAGCAGATGATACCTCTTTCTGAAGCAAGGTATCACCTGCCTTACCTCCTCCTTCCATCAATTCCCAGCCTCAGCCCTTGTGCCTTCCTGGCGTGACCTTCAAAAGCCCTGGCCTGATGGCACTCCATACTCAGCTGCAGAGAGCTGATGGCAGACACCCTGCACAGGGCTAGGCACAGAGCAGATGCTCCATATCTGTTCATTTTAACCCTTTGGCCACTCACAAGTCAGCAACGGAGGTAACCAATGACCACACTGGATGCTGCAGCTCTGAGTGGCATAAGCACAAGGAGCTGTGGATACCTGGAACAAAGGAGCAGCTTTGGCTGCGAGGATCAGGGAAGGCTTCCTAGAGGAGGAGGGCTTGGAAGCAGGAGAAGGAACCCAGCAGCTACCAGGTCAAGGCCTTCACATCCTTTGGGGCTGCTTAAGTTTGACCTCCTCCTTGTGCCCAAAAGACCAAAACCAGTTATTCTTAAGCTCCTGTATGTTCCACCCAGAGCTGAGCAGTGGCAACTGGAAAGAAATCGTACACTGACCTGTCCGTGGAGTGACAGTTCAGTGAGTGAGACAGAGAAGCCACTTGGTAAGGAGCTGCCACTTGCATTGAAATTGTGTGCCTCAGTTCCTTACCTTGAGTCCAAATTTCAGACAGAGCTGCCCCACCTGAGGGCAGTGACCCCAGGGTAGCCAATGCTTCCCCTCAGCCTGCCTTGTGCCCCTTGCATTTTTGTGTAGTGTATCTGTGGCCTACTGAGATCTGGCAGGGCAGAGACTCCAAGCTTTCAGCAGTGGGCCTGGGACCTGGCCACCCTAAACATTGCCATGCGGTCCCTGAACTGTCCTTAGTCACCTTAGTCACATGCCAAGGAAAGTCCCCAATCTGGCTCAATGCACTCTGGAAACTGAAAGCCCTCCTTCTCCCTTCCCCACTCAGCCTCCATGGGTGACCTATCTTCTTTGGTCTGGATCTTGCTTCAAGCCACAGCCCATAGGGAGCCAGCTCATGTGCATTACCTTGCTTTCTGCTTGCCAAGCCTTGAGGCTGCCCCCACTGCTAGGCTCTCATGGCATGGGACAAGACCATGGCCCAGGAAGAGGAAAGCTGCAACTGACATGTCACTTCGGGCCTTTGGGTTCCATCAGACACTCTGCATTCATTTCCACTGTGCCCGCAGAGAGCTGGCTGATGCCAAGACAAGGGCAGCACACCAGGGGACACACATGCCTGAAAGTGATGCTCAAAAGAGGTTTGCATCATTGCTTTCAAGGGTTGAAGAACTGGCAGAGGACTCGTGAAGTGAAGCAGTGAAGTAAATGGTGGGGCAGGAAGGTACCTTTACAGCCTAGGGGTAAGAGAGCGACTGGGAGATCAGGCTGGGTTCAAACCCCAGTTCAGCCACCATCT